CGCGGTCCGTGAGTTCGAGCCCCGCGTCGGGCCCTGGGCTGATGGCTCAGAGCCTGGAGCCTGTTTCCGATTCTGTGCCTCCCTCTCTCTCTGCCCCTCCCCCGTTCATGCTCTGTCTCTCTCTGTCCCAAAAATAAATAAACGTTGAAAAAAAAATTAAAAAAAAAAAAAAAAAGAAAGGGCCCTACTACCCTACAAGAATGCTGCCTTCCTGGACCCGCTGACCTCCATGCCCAGCTCCCCCAGGTCCTCTACTCCTCTCTCCACTCTGGGACCCAGAGCCAGATACACGCGCAGGCATGCCCACGGATCCTCTTCCTGAACACCGTGGCTACCTGAGGGCCCGCGGCTCGGAGAACTCCTCATAACTGTGCACGGAGTCACTGTAAGATTCCCGGGAGCCCAGGGGTGGTGGGCGGACAGAGTACTGGTGGACTGAGGCATTGGGCTGGGATGTGGTGTAATAGGGTGGCGGGATGCTGTTGCTTGTCTCGCTGCGATAGTCGCTGTCGCGATCGTCCACCGCACTGTCAGGGTCATCGTCTGGAAGAGAGAGGAGCGGAGGGAAGAGGGTGAGGAGGGGAGGGAGAGAGAGGGCGTCCAATGGAGGCCAACACAGTCTCTCAGACTTAGGGAGTCTTCGCTGTCTGCTAACCCAAGAAGAGGGATCTTTGCCAGAATGAATGCAGGATCTCGGGTCACGTTAACAGAAGCAGAGGCTGCAGGATAAGGGAGGTGAAAACCCCGCTTTGCCAGTCAGACTGGACTCCTAGGCTGGGGCCCAACGCAGGTCCTATAATGTGGGGGGGACAGGGGCAAATTGGAGGGTGTCCTTCGGCTCAAACGTGAGCACGGACTTGGCTAAAGTCCAGGCTTTCTGAAAGCATGATGAGTTTTTCCATCAGGCAGTGAGCTTCCCGTAAAAGAAGTCACACAAATACTCAGGGGGACGTTCAGAGGGAGATCAGGGGGACAAGGTTGGAGTAGAAATTTCCTTTAAGCCTCAGAGATTTCTCGATGTCCGAGGATGGGGCTCCTAGATCTGAGCTCACACGTGTGGGAACAAACATGGGGGCTGACGATACTATAGGCCTCGAAAAAGGATTAGATTCTTAGGTCAGATTCTTAGATTCTTAGGCAAGACCATTGCGCACCCAGAATCTACGGCCGAATGGAACAGGGCAGAGTGCTGAACTTCAAGTGTTTTATAAGCACTAAAGGGCATTTTAGTGTGGTTTGTTTTCCTTGATAAAAAAAAAGAACAGCGTCGAAGGATGCGAGATTGTGATTAGGACAGTAGAGACTCAATTTATTTAAAAGGCAACCCTGGAAAACAAATGGGCTGCAAGAGAAAAGAAATGAAGGCCCAGATTAGGTGGCCCAGGGCGTGAATTGACCGGTGGTATTAAATGCCAAGGGGAGGGGTGCCTGGGTGGCGCAGTCGGTTAAGCGTCCGACTTCAGCCAGGTCACGATCTCGCGGTCCGGGAGTTCGAGCCCCGCGTCGGGCTCTGGGCTGATGGCTCAGAGCCCGGAGCCTGTTTCCGATTCTGTGTCTCCCTCTCTCTCTGCCCCTCCCCCGTTCATGCTCTGTCTCTCTCTGTCCCAAAAATAAATAAACATTGAAAAAAATTAAAAAAATAAATAAATAAATGCCAAGGGGGGTGATGTGCCCCTTTTTAATGCCTTTAGGTTTCTTTGCTCGTGTGCCGGATGTGTGTGTATTTTTTCGCCTTATTATTTTAATCTCCTAATCCCACCCCCCCCAGCTAATTGTGTCTGTTTCTATGTATTTGACAAATAGGTCCATTTTTTTAAATGGGGTGAACGGTGGGGGGGGGGGGCGCCTGGGTGGCTCAGGTCATGATCTCACGGTGCGTGGGTTCGAGCCCCGCATCTGGCTCTGCGCTGACAGCTCAGAGCCTGGAGCTGCTTCGGATTCTGTGTCTCCCCATCTCTCGGCCCCTCCTCTGCTCGTGCTCTGTCTCTCTCTGTCTCTCAATAATAAACAAACGTTAAAAAAAAATCAAGTTCATCCTTCATGTAAACACCTATTTGGATTCATTCCCTAAGTTAGTTTGCCTTTTGAGAAACCTTGAATTCGTTCTCGGCGAGCTCATCAAGGTCACTCTGGCCTCCTGGTTTCTCATCTGACTCGGGCCACTGTGACCTACGAGCTTTTTATCCTGTCCCTGTCGTAAGCGGCCACCATCTGATGTGCTGGGTGCCATCAGTGCCGGCATTTTAGGCAGAGGCAGATGTGAATTTCCACGGCTCAGGTCTACACGCCTCAGGGTATAGCTGTGAGGCCACGGAGGCCTGAAGCCGGGGATCTGAAATCCGGACAGTGTCCCCGTGGAATTCCGGACGAGTTGTCAACGTTACCGAATTGTTCCTTTGACCCATTTGTTCGCTACCCAGTTTTCTGGGTGTAGAGCCTCTAACCAAACCGGCATATCCTGTCTGCCCAACTGTCCTGGACCAGGCCAAGATGCTCCCAGCCAAACTGCCTGACGCTGCGGGTGTAGTCGGCGAACGGTGTTTGTTTGTTTGTTTGTTTGTTTTTCCAGACACATCGTCCAGTTTTGGGGGCCAAATTGCTTTCTATCGGTTTGGGTTTTTTGGTTTTGTTTTGTTTTGCTTCCACCCTCACTCCGCTTCCTCCCACATGGTTTTTGACCGAATTGCCTGCTTGCCCAGAGAGGCATTTTCAGCCACTCGTGTTTCAACCCACTGGCCCGACTGTCTTTGTGCTTCTTGACCCAGCGATCAGCTTTCGCCACGTTGGTTTTAACCAAAAATATCTCTGTTTGTCGACCGTGCCGTTTGTCTGCGGCAAACGGGTTGGTACCGGGCCCTCTTGCTTGCTGAATGGCTTTTCTGGCTAAATGGGTTTTTTGACAAATTGTTCCGGATCAAAGTAGCGGTAAACATTTCCCCTGGTCCCGGAGGGAAGGGGGACGCGGGGTCTGGCCGTCAGGTTGTGGGCACTGGTGGAGGCGTTCCTAGTTGGTGGGGTAAAGGGAAGGAGGGAGATTCACGTTCAGGCCATAAGCCTGGATTTTTCTGGAAGGGGCAAGACACGGAGGAAAGGGAGCTATGCCTTGGGGAGATAAATGGGCACCCAGGTGTTGGGGGAGGGGAGGGCTGGTCTCCTTCCCCCGGGGGGTTAAATTGGAGGAAGATGGCAGGGGGCTTTGGGAGCTGAGGTCTCTGGAGTGATCCGTGCCCGGGGTTCCCTGCCCGGCTGCTCTCTCAAGGACCCTCTCCCCCCCCATACCTACCCCCCTCTGAGTGACACTGGGGCCCATTTCCCGGCGGGGCAGCGGCGGAGGAGGAAGGTGGGGAGACAAAAGACAGGAAGGAGTCACAGGAGAGGAGATGACGTTATACACGGGGAACAGGGGGGAAGGGGTCACAGTGCCCAGCTGGAGACACCCAGGTCTCTGCTCGAAATGCCCACTCCTCCCGGCGGAATCCCTCCACCCCGGTAATGGTGCCCGCTCCCAAGCGAGCAGAGCAGGACCCTCGAGACAGACCTTAATGGTCAGGGACAGGAGGGCACAGGCGGGGTCTTATCAGTCCTCAGGCCCCCCCCCGCCACCGGCTCCCCGATTCCCCGGCGGTCGGGCAGGGGGGGCCTCAGGGTTGCCAAGGCCCCCACCTCCCCGTGGCCTCCCAGAACATCAAGCTGAGTACTTACTCTGCTGTTCACCCCAGCCAAAATAATTCCAGTTGCCTACAAAGAGAAGGGACAGAGATAATAAAAGGGAGCAGGCGGGGGCGGCACGGGGCGGGGGGGACCCCCATCCTCCTCATTTTCCCCTTCTTCTCCTCCCACCCCAGGACCTCGATCCCCTCCTGCCCCGAGCGTCTCAGAATATCACTCTAACCCCCCTGACATTTGTGCTGCCTTCGGTCATCAAGGTGGGGTAACCGCATCCTTCAAAGAGGCCACAGGCTCAGCCAGGAAGTAATCAAGGGGACCTTCGGGCCCAGGGTTTTATCACCCCTGCCCTCCCCCTTCCGGCAAACAAGGAAAGAAACCCTGGACTGGAAATCCTACACTTCGAAATACCACCACCCCCCCCCACCCGCCATTGGGTGGGGTTTAATAATTCTGGTCGTTTGACAGGTGAAGGCATAGGGCTCAGAGAGGTAGTGTGAGCAGCCTAAAGTCACACAGCTTCTGAGCATCAGGACCGGGGAGAGAACCACATTTCCCCCCCATCCCCTCAACCCCAGCGCCCCTCCCCCACCCCCCACCCCGGGCATCTTGGGAAAAATGCCTCGGGCCAGAGTCCTGACACCTGGCTGCCTCCTCCGTGAAACGGAGGCGACAAACTGTTCCCAAGAGAACTTGGAGGTAAAGGCTGAGGGGTAAGGTAAGTCTCCGTTCCCAAACTGAACCCACCCCTTCCTTCAGTCCACCTGTCCAGGAGTCACCTGTCTGCTCCTGCCTGAATCTGTCCCCACCCCACCCCTTCAGTGACCCCGTTCGCCACCAGGGTGGGGGGTTGTAATTTCCTCAGGGCGGTGATGACCCCTCCCCAGGTAGGGAAGTCAAAGGGTTTCTCGATAGCAGCCCCAAGAAATGAGGTCCCCCAAGTGCAGTCCCCCCCCCAGCCCCTCCACTTTGTGGTTACCATCCTGGGCATATGGGGGGTCGACAACGCATACAGGGGAGACTGGGGGGGGCGAAAGGGGGAAGGGGGAGCAGGATGGAGAAGGAGAAAGAGGTTGAAAGGTGGGGGGGGGGGCCAAAGTGCCACGGGTGGGGTTCTGCCCTGAGACTGCATGATTTGTCCCTTTCTCCCCACTCCAGAGGACTCGGAGGGCACTTTTAGGAGAGAGACATCTCCTTGGCCCAGGCGCGACCGGCCTGGGTGCCTCTGAGTCTCCGTAAGGCCAAGGAGGATAAACCCCCCTGCAGACTTCAGCCTCGACGGAGGGGCAGGTGTCAGAGGCACAGGACTGTCATTGCCATCAACAGATGCGGTGCAGTGGAAAGAGAAGCAAACTTGGGAGCCCCGCAGACCTGAGTTCAAGTCCTAGCTCTGCCTCCGGCTGGGTGTGTGGCCTTGGGCAAGTGGCGTCTCTTCTTGGGCCTCGGTTTCTCTGCCTCAGAAAATGGGCGAGTGAAAAAGCCTTCATCCATCGTTCGTGCACCCTGTGTTAACAGGGTTGTCTGTCTACACCGTCTGACTGTGGGCTGCTGGGGTGGGGGCGGGGGAGGTCTCCGCGGGGGCCCCGCGGAGGTTTGTTCAACGAGTTATAGGCCCTCATCCAGGGTCCGGCGAGTGACACGAAAGGGTCTGCCAAGGGTTTTTCAAGTCTCTAGAAGGGCTCCTCTGCGTCCTTCCAACAGGCCTCAGGGTTGAAGACACTGTCACGCCCTCTTTCACAGAGAGGGGCTCTGTGGATCCGAGGGGGACACCGGCAGGCCTGCGACCACACAGCAAGGCAGGACTCGCATTCGGGTCCCAGGTCTTTTCTTTCCACTGCACCGTGAGCAGGCATCGTGCGTTCTTAGGACCTGTCCTCTGGAGGGGAGTGGCCCGTGACACAGGACAGCCCCGGGTGGGGGAGGGACGAGGGTTCAGCTGATGCCCAGGGAGGACTCGAGAGATACTTACAACACTGGTTGCTGGGGACGGGGAGAGGCTTGTCTTGTTCATCTTGGAACGAATACTGAGAGGGAGGGAAGGAGAGAGGGTGCCTCTCAGGAAGGGACAGGAGCCAGGGGACCAAGATGGCCCTCTGCTCTGTTCCATTCTGACCCCCTCCCGCGGCTTCCCAAATCCCCTCCACCTGCAGGAGGAGGATACAGATGTCCACAGAGAAAGACACACACACGCACACACACACACACACACACACAGAGCGAGAAACAGAGACGCGACAGCAAAAAGAAACACGGATGAGAGAAAGGAACAAATAGACGTGGGGGCAACCGAGGCAGGGAGCGGAATAAAGAAGAAGACGAGACATGAGGCTGGACAAAAACGGTTAACTTGTGAGTGTCGCCCGTTTTGGGCTCCACCTCCCGCGGGACAGAGCTCTGGTCTTGCCTGCGGTTTCTTCCTCGCCTTCGCCTTCGGAAGGCTGTTCTTCTGGACCTCAGTGGCTCTTTGCGCGGTGATGACGCAGAGCCACGAAGAAGACGGGGAATGTCACGGAAGAACAGGGGGGCAGGGGCGCCTGGGTGGCTCTGACGGGCACGC